AAATTACAACAAAGATATTTGTATCAGAATGTTTATTGCAGCCCAATTCATAATTGCTAGGTCATGGAAGAAGCCCAAGTGCCCATTGACCCATGAATAGATCAATAAATTGTGGTATATGTACACCATGGAGTATTACACAGCCATAAAGAAAGATGGAGACTTTACCTCCTTCATGTTTACATGGATGAAACTGGAAAATATTCTTCTTAGCAAAGTATCTCAAGAATGGAAGAAAAAGTATCCAATGTACTCAGCCCTACTATGAAACTAATTTATAGCTTTCATAGAAAAGCTATAACCCAATTATAGCCCAAGAATAGGGAGAAAGGGGAGAGGGAGGGGAGAAGATGGGGGAGTATGGGTGGAGAGAGGGTGATTGGTGAGATCACGCCTATGGTTCATTCTATAAGGGTACATGTGAATCTTTCTAAATGTAGAATATAAATGTCTTAACACAATAACTAAGAAAATGACATGAAGGCTATGTAGACCAGTTTGATGAAAATATTTCAAATTGTATATAAAAACAGCACACTGTACCCCATGACAGTATTAATGTACACAGCTATGATTTAATAAAAGAAAAATTCTCAGCCTGATCTTAAAAGAAACTCTAAATACATAGGAGTTTTCATATTACTCTGAACTAGACTGAGTTGCACGGTCATTAGGCTGGGTGGACTATCTGGGGATCTGCCCAGCAGATTACCTAAAAAGTGAGGAATGGCTGGGCGTGGTGGCTCACACCTGTAATCCCAACACTTGGGAGGCCAAGGTGGGTAGATTGACTGAGCTCACAAATTTGAGACCAGCCTGAGCCAGAGCGAGATCCCATCTCTAAAAGTAGCCAGGTGTTGTGGTGGGCACCTATAGGGAGGCTGAGGCAAGAGAATCACTTAAGCCCAAGAGTTTGAGGTTGCTATGAGCTGTGATGCCACAGCACTCTACTGAGGGTGACAGAGTGAGACTCTGTCTCAAAAAAAAAAAAAAAAGTGAGGAATAACAAAGCCCCAGGGAGCACTGGAGAAGCAGTGGGAGGAAAATTAAGGTCTGCTTTGTTCTATCAAGTTCAACACAGCATCATGGACAAACATCAGTCCTGTGATTAAGATGTGCCTCAGTCACTTACTTTTGGAACAGAAGCACCTGCAGACAAGGAGTATCTTGAAAGATGGGCGTGTGGACAGAAGTAAGTGCTGGGGAGTCTTGACAATCCAGCTGCTTCAGGTTGGGGGTCATCTTGAAAATGTCGCCCTCCAGGGTCCTCAGCCTGGGCATTGTCCTTAGGTAGAGGGACGAGAGCTTTGGCAGGTCTCTGATCCAACCTGGCTCAACTGAAACACAGAGGGGAAGCTGTCCACTACCCAGGAAGGCACAAACTCAGGAGGGCAATGTGGCTTGAAACAAACACAGTGCAAGGTGAGTCCTGAAGAATGTTCTTGGCTCAGCGCCTGTGGCTCAAGTGGCTAAGGCACCAGCCACATACACCTAAGGTAGTGGGTTTGAATTCAGCCTGAGCCCACCAAATAACAATGACAGCTGCAACCAAAAAATAGCTGGGCGTTGTGTTGGGTGCCTATAGTTCCAGCTACTTGGGAGGCAGAGGCAGGAGACTGGCTTTAGCCCAGGAGTTGGAGGTTGCTGTGAGCTGTGATGCCACGCACTTTACCCAGGGGGACAGCTTGAGGCTCTGTCTCAGAAAAAAAAAAAAAAGAATGTTCTTACCAAGCAGCGGCAAAGTTAGCAGCTTTGGGGATCTCAGAGGCCTGGCCATTTCTGCTAAGAGAGCTCTTGGGATAATCAGTCCCTTTTTTCTTAGAATCCCAGTTCACCGAGGCCAGAGAGGGGAATGACTGGCCCAAGGCCACCCAGCTGGGAAAGGACAGAGACAGGGCTTGAACCCAGGACACTGTCTTCATGTCCACCTTTTTGCTAAACGCCCCCCCCCAACCACACTTCATTCTGATGGCTCCCTGAGGAGTGGGGAGCTTCCAAGGACTGTAAGTTAGGAAGGAGTAACCTGACTTTTCAGCTCTCCTAATAAATGGAGAATATGCCCTTCCCCTCTGTAGCTCCTGTGTTTGCTCTTTCTTTTTGTTTGCGATGGAACAGATGAAACACATTAAGTGTTTTGTTTTTTTTTCACATACTAAAACTGATCTTGGGAACCAAAGTCAGAACACCCAGTCCAGGAGAACCATTATCCTCATCTCCCCTCTGTGTCTCGAGTAAATGGTGCAACCTTAACAGATGCACTTTTAGCCAACTGAGTAGAAAAATCAGTGAAGTCATCCCCTGAGCCTAAGTGACTGCACATTAACTGATTCATGCCAGAGGTTGACATTTAAGTTTTTGCATGACTTTTTGACAAGTTCCTAGCATTCTAGTATCTGCAGCCATAACTCTGTGCACCACAGAATAACATGAACCCTCAGGAGGCAGATGTGAGGAAAATCAGACCTCCAGAATGACCTTGAGCAGTAGGATATACGTGACTCCCACATCAGTACTGTTCTGATAATGAGCCATGAGGCAAAAATGCGCTTGTCCAGTGCTAAGCTCATCTATTCATCAGCCCCAGAGGGACGCATTCACTTCTCTATTCCACACCATTTATCCAGCTATGGTGGGAGGCAGAACAGAGTGGCTAGAGTGTTGGGACTCTGGACCCAGAATGCCTGGATTCCGATTGGAGGCACCAAGTGCTTAGTGAGCTGTGAGACAAGTCCAGTCACTTCACAGCGCCATGTTTTGGTTCCCTCCTATTTAAAACGAGGGGAAAATGGCTCCGTGCCTGTGCACAGTGGTTACGGCGCCACATACACCAAGGGTGGCAGGTTTGAACCCGGTCTGGGCCTGCTAAAAAACAATGACAACTGCAACAAAAAATAGCCAAGCGTTGTGGCGGGCGCTTGTAGTCCCAGCTACTTGGGAGGCTGAGGCAAGAGAATCGCTTAAGCCCAGGAGTTGGAGGTTGCTGTGAGCTGTGACGCAACAGCACTCTACCCAGGGCCACATAGTGAGACTCTGTCTCAAATAAAAAAGAAACAAAAAAAAAAGGGGGGGGAATAACAGTTACCACCACTTAGGACTCGGGGAGTTAATCCTTGCGTGGCGCTTTGAACAGGGCCGGGGCAATGTAGCTGGCATAGTTTTGTTTTCTTAGGAACAACGTCTAGTTCCGTCACGCAGTTGGGGTGCAGTGGCGCCATCGTAGCTCACTGAAACGTCAAACTCCTGGGCTCCATCGATCCTCCCAAGTAGGGACTACAGGGGCATGCCACCATGCCCAGCTAGTTTTTAGTTTTTGCAGAAATGGGGTCTCGCTACGTTGCCTAGGCTGGCCTCAACTACTAGGCTCAAGTGATCCTCCCACCTCGGCCTCCCAAAATGCTGTGATTACAGGCGTGAGACAGCCTGGAGTTATTTCTGAGCTACCCTGTCACCCGTCGAGGAGGAGTGCAGGCCTGCCGGGCTCTCAGCTCAGGCCGGCTGAAGACGCGTGGCGCCCAGACTTACCCCGCTCGAGGAACGTGCCGCTGAGATCCAGGACTTCGAGCGCGGCCAGGGGTGATCCGTCTACACCAGCGAACGCGGCCTCGGCGATGCCCCCTTGGGCGCCGTGGCCCAGCGCGGTGTCAGAGAGGTTGAGCAGTCGCAGCGCGGGGAAGCAGGCGAAAGCCCGGGGCGGCAGCGCCTGCAGAGGGTTCCCGGAGAGCTCCAGCTCGCGGAGGCCGCGCAGCGCGGGCCCGGGGCACGGCGGCAGGGCGGCCAGCTTGTTGTAGCTGAGGTCCAGCGTGTGCAGCTCCGCCGGCCCTCCGGGGCCCCAGTGCAGGGCGGCGACACGGTTGTGGCGCAGCGTCAGCACCTGTAGCTGCGGCAGACGGCTGAGGTCCGGGGCGCTCAGGGCGCGCAGGAGGTTGTGGCTGGCGTCGAGGCTGCGCAGCGCGCGCGGCAGGCAACTGGGCAGGCGCTCCAGGCTGCGGTTCACCAGGGTCAAGGCCGTGGCTCCGGCGGCAGGGAGCCCCTCGCAGGGTGAGCTTGTGGCGTTGTTGTCGCCGCTGCCCCAGGAGCCAGGCTGAGTCAGCCGGAAAAGCGGGACCCTCTCCTGGAGAGGCTCTGCCTTGCTCGGGTGCGACACGGTCGGCAGCAGCAGGAGCAGCAGCGGCAGCACCGTCTGCCTCATGGCGTAGCTTGGGAGAGAAGAGTAGGAGGCTCATTAAATCCAGCGGAAACCCCTGAACAGAAGGGCAAATACGGAACTTCGCACCCCCAAGCCCCCGCTGAGCTCTGAAGAAGGGCACAGATCCTGGATGTGGGGCAGGAGACATTCTCAGCGTCGCCAAGTGTACAGTGACTTGGCTGCTACCTGCTTTTCCCCATCGTTTTCACCACGTGCACAGCGGCACCACCTGCCCTCTCTTCTCTGGGGATGCCCATTGCGGGAGACATGCCTCGCCCAACTGTACAGTCTGGGCCTGAATCTCCCAGTAACCCCCTCCAATTTTTTGACCCCATCCCATGAACTTTGGCAGGGAGGGGATGGCCCCTTTACTGCTGTGAATCAAACCGTCCCCTTCTCCATAAACGTGAACGCTCTCAGTTAGGAAGAAGCTAACGGTCATAGACACGTGGACTCAAAGATTTTGCCAGTTCCAACGACACCCACTTGCCCCAACTTTTCCCATTAGAATTGCCCAGCCACAGGTGAGCCCTAGTTTGCATAATATAAGTTCTGGGGTCCCTTTCTTGGGAATGTGGTAAGGGTTGTCTTTAGGAGATAGAAGAATCCCCAGATGGCTGTGAGACTTGAGACCCCAGAGTCAAGAATTTCCAAAAGCCAGGACCTCTAGTGCTAGCTCGACCCAGGAGTGATGACCGCTGAGAGCTGCTAAGTGGGGAGTCTCTTGAATCCCCAGTACTGTGCTCCCCAGGGCAGTGGACATCAGGTAGGGGTGGATCAGGCAGTCATAAGCTGGTTCAGGAGTGGCAAAGCTATTTCCAGCCCTTCCCTGCCTCTGAGACCACTGTTTGCTACCCCTCCCGTGCTGCAGATGTATGTTCCTGCCCCGCTGTCATGCCCAGCCCTCCATTTCCAAGCAAAGGCTCATGCTGCGGGGAAGTGCCTGTCCCTTGTTAGTTAGAGATCCAGGCAGTGAGAAAGGTCTGGAAACTATCCAGCTGTGTGTCATACTCACCCAGAAGCTGTCCTTCTGGAATGTGGTGCCCGGGGTGCTTGTTTTATAGAGCCCAAGTATGAGTGACTTAGACCGAAACTCAGCTTTGAACTCAAGAGAGTGGTCTGTTTCTCAGCCACCCCTCCCCCAACCCTCCTTCTCCATAAAGAGGCTCTTGTCTTTAGCCAACACCCTATTGCCTCTTCTCTCCTCCCCCTGTGGGGCCAGGGCCTGCCCCTTTCCAGGCCTGGCACCTCCTTTCACCCCTCCCCATCTTTCCCATGCCTGAGAAATGCAGGGAGTTTGGGGCCAATGCAGGTGTGGGCCAATGGGGTTCAGTGAGGCTGAGAAGCACTGTCACCTCTCAAGTATCCCATCCTCCCTGTGGGATGAGTCCATTTCCCCGTGATGGTGCAAGGCTGACGGGTGAACCTGTAATAGGAGGAGGCTCCCTTCCCCACAGGAGGGGAGAAACCCCAGTCCAGAGGAGGGCTTGTAGGGATTTCTGGGAAAAGTAGTAGGAGGCAGAATTGTTAGGGAGTCTAGGAGCGGGTTCCGGCTCAGACCAGATCCTGGTGTCCTCAAGGAGAGTTTGGGCTGCTCTGGGACTCAGTTCAGTGACAGAGTGAGTGTTCAGTGACAGGGCAGAAATGCAGAAAGAACATTCCTGCCTTGCCACTGGAAAGATGGATCCTGACTGCCACCAGCCCCAAGTCCCCCTGAATACGTAGTGACCGAGTGAGATTGTGTGGAGTTCATCTGCTTAAAGCAGACAGCACTTCTCTGCCCTAGAGTCCCAAGCACACTGACCAGGGGTTTCATGGGAAGGCTTTGATCTGCCCCTCCCCCCTACTTCCCTGTCCCCACTGAGGCTCTGAGAGCAGGCCAGGGTTAATGACACTTAGTTTTGTGTGAGAACCTGAAAACCAGAACTGTCCGTATCTTTCTTCCTGCCAGTCCTTATCTGGATGACCCTGATGAACCCCAGAACACCTAGAAACTGGCCTGCTGCATTAACTGGGTAACTGTAAGTCCCTTAGGGTCTCCTTTGATGCCTTCACTACTCAAAATCTCAAAAATACCCTTTCTCTAAGTGCCAGGGGAGGCTTACTATTCAGGAGTGTTCCCTCGATTGCCCTGCACTGCCTGGTCTGAGCCAGTGCAGGAACTGTCCAGGAAGCCCCAGAGGTACAAACGAATGCCAGGGATGAAGTGGGAGGCCAGGGAGAAGTTAGGGAGGGTGGGGAGGTGCATGGTGGGGGGCAGGCTCCTGGCAGCCTTGGCTCTGCTTTTGCACAGACAGCTGCACACCCAAGAATCAAAACATCAGGTTTCCCTCAGAGTTAAGCCAACCAGGCCCCCCTCAGTAAGGCGACTAGCCACGCTGAGGCCAGCAGGAGCTTGGGAGTGCAGGCAGGGCTGCCCAGAGGAGAGGGACCTGAATCTACCAAAACACACCCGGTTCAGAGAATCTGACCAGGAAGGAAGTCGGTCCACCACTGAGGCCTATAAAACAGGGCCTCGGGAGCCATGGCCGGGGTTCTCCTCTGGGCACCACTGGGACGAGGATGCTGGAGAGCCCTGGGTGAGGCATCCTCCTGAGGCCGTCATGCCGTGCTGGCCTGGAGCCCTGGGCCCTCTGTGCTAACTTCTCATCACTGCTGCATGCCAGTGGCCAGGTGTCTGAGCCTGGCCCTCAGGACCACCCTGCAGCTGTGAGTTGGGAGCACACTTCGAGTGAGCTGTGGGACTCAACCGCTGTGCTAAGTGGCCTTCTGCAAACCTCAGCACTGGATGCTGTAGTATTCTCCCTAAGTATGAGAGAACCTTTCCAGGACTTCAGATAGACCCAAATCATGCGGGAAGTTGGATAGTTAGGACACAGGCTTTTGCACAGTTGAGCAGCTCATTCTCAGAAGACACAGCGTCATAGTGGGCCCAGCACTGGGGAGGACCGGACAGGGCCTACTGGGCACCTTCCAGGGAGGCCCAGCCCTTTTCTTCAATCTTTTCTTCTCTTCTAGTGCTTTTTGGAAGTCAGGAAAAGATGACTGAGAAGTTTGTCCCCTCTGGAGAAGGATGCTGAACCGTGAGACAGTCTTGGGACCCGAAAGTGCGCCTGCTCCAAATGCCACCCAAATGCTGACCCCCACTGGGTGCTCCTCCTTTGATCATCTTGGTTTCCATTTTAGCTCATCTGTCTAAACCTAGTGTGGACACTCTCAGAAGAAGGTCCTGAGACGAGGACTGGGTGTACGTAGTTTATTTGGGAGGTGATCCCAGGAAGCACACAGAGGGTGTAAAAACGTGAGACAGGGAAGGGGAGGTGCTGACATGGGTGAATGAGCAGGGACTTCCCTGGGCAGCTGGGGCTCCCTCCTGCTGGGGACCCTTGGGAGACTGTGTAGAACACGCCTTGGTTTGTTCCATCAAGTGAGGAGGGAGGTGGGGGCCTCTACCCACCAGCGTCTGCCTGTAGCTGGTTGGAGCTCCTCCTGCAGCTTTCACTCCCTGACACATCTGTTTTCCCTGCGTGCAGAACAAGCAACTCCACAGAGGGGGAAAAGAAAACAGCAGCATCTGATGAGGCACCCTCTAAGATTTCCCCAAGTGGACCCCCCTTTCCCTGTCCCAAGCTGAATTAGGTGCCTTTCCTTGGTGTTTGTTCCCAGGGGACATTGTCTACCTGCCATCAGGCAGATTGATGCAGCTTTTCTCTAAATTCCTGAGAATTGGGCCACACCATTCATCTCAGTGCCCCAGTGCCCTGGGAAAAGGCACAGCAGAGGATGTGGAGGATCGTGACATCCTTCACTGTGCCGAAGAATAGCAGGGACAGAGCTTAGAAGAGAACAAATTAAGTTCAAGGGCCTCCTAGCATCCCCTCACTGAGAAGGGCTAAAGTGAGGGTTGGGGTGGGGACAGGAGCAGAAGTGGAGGCAGGAAATTGAGTCACAAAGTGCTTTCCATTCCAGATTCCCAGCAAAATCATGACTTTTGGAGGGAAGACTCTCCTGGAGGCAGATGACAAGGTTAGAGTGTTAGTAAAACAGTAGCCTGCAGAGAACTATGGAAAGGAAAGCCAGGAGTCACAACCTTGGCCACATCTTCTGGATTTAGATAAAAGTGAGAATTATGGATCCTTGGCTTTGGAAGGGACTTTAGAACTTGTCAGTCCCACCCCACTCTGTCCATTTTAGGAGGAGAAATCTAAGCTCCAGAGAGGGAAGTTGTTTTATCTGAGGTCACATGGTGGTAAGTTCCTAGTTATCTAGGAAGAAGAAAGGGTGACCTAATTCTCATGATTCCGTTCTGGGCTCTGGGTTACTTGCACAGCTGAGCAGGACTGACCTGTGTGGCATTAGCCATGTGGGTCTGTTCCCAGGAGTATGGCTAAGGAAACACCTGGCTGGCGTCAGGCAACTGGGCAGAGTTTCCAGGGGTTTTGACCCTTGCTGTTCCCATCTCATCCCCAGGACTCCAGGAATAAACAACCCCCAGTACAGATTGCCCCAGAGATGTAGAACTGGCTTCTTCCAAGCAAGTCCTGTCCAGCTCTGTTTACGCCCTGACAGCCTGGGGTGGGGTTAGCAGGGCAGGCCCAGGTGACAGGTGACTGCTCAGCCAGCTGCCTCTGCCGTGCCCTCCAGATGCCGGCAAAGGGCAAACGCTGCTGAGGCTTCTCCCAAATAATGGAGCTGCAATGTAAAAGCCGACAGACTACATTCTTCTCTGACAGCAGAGATAAGCCAGAGGAATGGAAGGGTGGGTAACTGTGGGAGGAGATGGTACCAGGTTGTCAGGGCTCCAGGAAGAATGGAATGCAGAAAAGAGGCTTTCAAGTGGTAAGGACTTGAGATATCTGAGTGAGTTCGCTGACGTGGCTGCAAGGAAACGATCTTGAGTAAATGAAACTGTAATGGATTGTGACTCATGTTTATTTTGCTATGGAAGGTCACTCACTACCAGTAAAGTTTCAGGCCGAGGATTTGTGAAATAGAATGTTTAC